TTTAGCAGGATTCCATAAATTTTGAACGTGAAGTATTAAATGTTCATGTAATTAAATATATTTTGAAAATTTCTCTTGCCATTTCTTCTTTGATCCGTAAGTTATCTAGAAATGTGTTGTTCAGTTTCCAAATGTTCGGAGATTTTATGATTATATGTCTGTTACTTATTTCTAGTTTGAATCTATTGTGGTCAGAGAACAAACTGTGTATGACTTCAATTCTTTCAAATTGGTTAAAGTTTCTTTTATGGCCCAGGATATGGTCTATTTTGATAAGTGTTCTGTGAGTGCTTGAAAAGAGTGTATTTTGCTCTTGCTGAATGGAACATACTATAAATGTTGACTAGATCCTATTGGCTAATACTTTTCTATACCCTTGTAGATTTTCTTTCCAGTTGTTTTACCAGTTGTCAAGAGGACATGTGAAGTCTCCAACTATAATTATGGATTTGTCTATTTCTTCTTTCAGTTCTATCAGTTTTTGCTTCACATACTTTGCAGCTCTTTTGTTTAGTGTGTACACATGTAAGATTGGTATGTCTTCTTCTTGGTTTGACTCTTTTATCATTGTTTATTATTCCTTTCTGTATCTGATATTCTTTCCTCTGAAGTCTACTTTATCTGGTATATTAATACAGCCACTTCCGCTTTGTTTTGGTTAATGTATCAGGGTACATCTTTTTCCATTCTTATACTTTCCAACCTACTTCTATTGTGTTTGAAGTTAGTTTTTTTTTATAGATAGGATACAGCTGGGTTGCTTTCCCCCACTCTGCCATCCTATTTCTTTAAACTGATGTATTTAGACAATTTTCATTTAATTATTGGTATGTTAGCCTCCCAATTTACTTATTGTTTTCTGTTACTCTCTCAGTTTTTGTTTCTTTTTTCTTTTACCTATCTTACTGATGGTTACTTACATTTTTTGAAGAATTTTTTAGAATTATGTTTTATCTATAGTGGTTAAGGTATTTTTAAGTGGTTGCTCTAAGTGTTACATTATATATATATTTTATGTAGAATGTTTACTTTTCTCTGTATTTATTTATTTTTAAAGATTTTATTCGTTCATGAGAAACACACACACAGAGAGAGAGAGAGAGAGAGAGAGAGAGAGAGAGAGAGAGGGAGGCAGAGACACAGGCAGAGGGAGAAGCAGGTTCCCTGTAGGGATCCTGACGTGGGACTCGATCTCAGGTCTCCAGGATCATACCCTGGGCCGAAGGCAGCGCTAAACCACTGAGCCACCCGGGCTGCCCTCCCTGTTTTTAATGCAATTATTTTAAATATTTCCTCTATATACATTAACAGCTACATCAGATAATGTTACAAGTTTTGCTCTGAATAGAAAGTCTATTATATTTATTTATATTTTATTCTTTCCATTGTTCTTTCTTCCTTCTGGATATTCCAAGATTCTTTCTTTCTTTTATAATTTCCTTTCTGTTTCGAGAACTTCCTTTAGCTATTCTGTTAAGGTTTGCCAATGACAAATTCTCTTACTTTTCCTTTATCTAACAATACCTTTATTTCTGATTCATTCCTTAAGGATATTTTCACTAGATAGAGATCTGGGTTAACAGTTCTTTTCTCCTAGTATTTTTTTAAAAAAGATTTTATTTATTTATTCATGAGAGATACATAGAGAGAGAGAGGCACAGATACAGGCAGAGGGAGAAGCCGGCTCCGAGTAAGGAGCCCGATGTGGGACTCAATCCCACGTCTCCAGGATCACACCCTAGGCTGAAGGCAGCACTAAACTGCTGAGCCATCCAGGCTGCCCTTCTCATAGCATTTGAAGAATGCAAAACATGTGACACTTCCTCTGGCTTCCATGATTTCTGGTGAAAAAAAGCTATTGTTGCTTGATTGCTTTTTCCTTATAAATAAGATGGCAGTACTCTGCTTTCAAGAGTTTGCCTTTAGTTTTTTTGTTTTGTTCATTTGTTTTTATTTAATATCAGTAAGGCTGTATATTTTTTTTAAAAAGATTTCATTTATTTATGAGAGACAGGGAGAGGCAGAGACACAGGCAGAGGGAGAAGCAGGCTCCCTGCAGGGAGCCCAATGTGGTACTCCGGAGTCCATCCAGAATGCCCAAGATCAGGCCCTGAGCCGAAGGCAGAAGCTCAATCACTGAGTCACCCACGCGTCTGTCTTTAGTTTTTAGAAGTCTGAATATGATGTATCACAGAGCAGATTTCTTTGGATTTATCCTGTTTGGGGCTCACTAGCCACTTGAATCTTTGAGTTTATAACTTTTGCCAAAATTGGGAAATTTTCAGTGGTTATTTCTTTGAATATTTTTTTCAGCCCTATCCTTCTTCCCCTTTTCTCTTGAACTTTGATGACACAAAGGTTAGATCTTCTGTTATAGTCTCACAAGTCCCTGTGGCTTTGTTCATTTTTTAAAGTCTATTTTCTTTCTGTTACTCAGATTGGGTAATTTCTATTTTATCTTCATGTTCACTGATTCTTTTCTCTGTTCTCTCCATTCTGCTGGTGAGCCTATCCTTTGAAGATTTTTGTTTTTAAAATTTCGGTTATTGTATTTTTTAGTTCTAAAACATCTATTTGGTTCTTCTTTACAGTTCTTTTTCTTTGGTGAGACTTTCTGTTTTGCCATTTGTTCCAAGCATGTTCATAATTGCTTGTTGAAGCATTTTTATAATGGTTGCTTCAAAGTCTTTTTCAGATAATTTGATTATCTGTATCATCTCAGTGTTGGTGTCCCTTGTCTTCTCATTCAAGTTCAGATTTTCCTGGTACTTGATATAACAAGTGACTTTTTATTGTATTCTGGACATTTTGGGTATTATAAGACTCTGGATCTTGTTTAAATCTTCTGCCTTAGCAGGCTTCCCCTGGTACTGTGTTAATAGGGAAAGTGAGGTTTCCATGTAATTACTGGCAGGTTAGGTGTGACTCTGGCTTCTGATTATAGCCCAGAAGAGAGAGTGCCTTGTTACTTCTGAGTGGGAGTGGAAGTTCAGGCTTTCTACATGACACCCTAGGATAGGGAAGCTTCATTACTGTCAGACGGGCATAGAAGTCCTGGCTTTTGGGGATCCCTGGGTGGCTTAGCGGTTTAGTGCCTGCCTTTGGCCCAGGGCAAGATCCTAGAGTCCTGAGATCGAGTCCCGTGTCGGGCTCCTGGCATGGAGCCTGCTTCTCCCTTCTCCTGTGTCTCTGCCTCTCTCTCTCTTTATATATATATATATATATATATATATATAAAAAAAAAAAAAAGAAGTCCTGGCTTTCCACTAGGCCTTCACTGATGTCACCCTGCCTTGGAGGTAAAAAGGTACCTCAGGTAGAGGTCACTTTTGGGCAACAGGTTTGAACAATGGAATGTACAGCAAGGCAAAAGGGCCCAGAGTGACCCCAAGCCCTTGGCTGAATACAGACAGCTCTATCAAGAGATCCACCTCAAAATGTCTATAGGCCCTAACTAGCCAACAGGCTACTTACAACTTGGTACAGACACCTAGGGAAAATTTCATACGTTCATCCCCATACCTCACCTCCCTGCTTTAAATACAGTTCCACTCACTGCCTCCTTACAGACAGTTTCTCCTTTGCTGTCCTGCCCTGCCCTCTCTTATGGATGCATTCAATAAATTTCTATCTCCTTTGTTCTGCCTCTGATAAACCTTTCACCACCACCACCGCCCCCATGCCCACTTCCACCCCATCAGTTTGCTCCACATTTGGGGACTCCCATCTGATTGAGAGAGACACACACCTCACTGCAGCTCCCACATGGCCTCTACTCTGTCTCCTCAGACACCATCTCTGTAGGGAGGGACAGAGATACCCTGTTAATGTTGGGTAGGTGGGTGGGAGTTCAGGCTCTGTTGTTCCCATAGAGTCTAGGAGAAAGAGGTCTTATTCCCACCAGGTAGGGATAAAAGTCCTGATTTTTCCACTAGGCCTTTTCTGGAAAGAAAGGAATACACTAGAACCTCTGAAATCTTTCCCATCCCTGTAATTCTGAACTTTATATAGAGGAGAAAGTGAAGATTTGCATTTCTTTGAGGAGGAGGAGAGACAGTTGTCTATGTGTGAGAAGGCTTTATAGAAGCACTGCCCCTGGCCCAGTATTTGCCTTCTGAAATCTCAGGGGTTCTTTCACTCGAGTCATAAGGGGAACTGTAGAGAAAATATTTTCATTTGTCTTAACAGTTTGGCTTTCTGAGCAAAGAAAGCTGGAACCTCCCTTAAAGGACATTAACCTTGGAAATTAAAGGGTAATTTACTAGCCAGAGACCTCTAAAGGCATTTAGATTGTTTCCCTGTATTTGCATTTCAAAGAGGGATGAAAAGGGTCAGTTGCTTACATTCCAAAGGATTGTAAAAGTCAAGGTTTCTCTCCAGCCCAGGGGTGAAGTGGGGCAAGATGTGACCTATTTATACTCTCAGATTAATAATTTGAGAGTTCCTCTTCTGCATTATAAACTGTTGTGTCTCTCTTGATGGGATCGGGGACCCCAAATGTGGGGCAATGATCCAGGAGAAACTGGTGTGACGCAGAACAAAGAAGACAGAAGTTTACTGAATCCATCTGCAAGGAACAGTGGGTAAGACAGCAAAGGAGAGACTAACTGCAAGGAGGTAGTGAGTGGAGCTGTACTTAGTGCAGCAAGGTGAGGAGTTATGGGGACGTATGGAATTTTCCTTTTTGGTAACTGTGCCTGGTTCTAAGTAGCGCATTGGTCAGTTAGGGCTTATGGATATTCTGAGGTGGGTTGTCTGATGGGCCTGTCTGTATTCTGCCAGGGAGAGGCTGTGGGCCCTTCTGCCCTCATCAACCCTCCATTGCTCAAGCCTGTTGTCTATAAGCGGCCTCTACGTGCAGGATGACATCTGGCTTTCTTTGTGTTGCCTGTGGAGTACTGGGTGTAGGAATGGACACAGTTAATAATAATTGAGATCACTGCTCCAGAAACCTCATTATTTGCTTTCAGGATAAAATGATCAAATATAGATACACTCACCACAAAGGGAAGGATACACTCATGCTGATTTTGCACCACATATAAGCTGAAGAGGGACATGCGGCTGGGGCCCATCAAGCTGCAGGCTAGAGAGAAAAAGTTCTGCAGAGCCTCACAGAGGTTGGAGCGGATGTCAGCCCAGGAAGGTAGAGCAATTTGCACAATGAGAAGCCTTGGAGGTTGCTGGTAAAGCTGCGTGGGATTAGAGGGTCCTTTACCACTACTTCTTCCATGATACATGGTAACAGACCAGAAGTGGAACTGAAGCCACTACCTGGATATTCTCTATACCTACAGGGAAGGAAAGAGAAATCACTGGGTTTCATAAAACTAAATTTAAAAAAAAAAACGAAATTATGCTTGGTTTAAATGATGAACACAGGACTAGAGCACTAAGTCCAGAAAGGAGTCAGACTGGGTACTAACTCAAATTCCTAGGCTATCCCATCTTAACAGCTCCCAAGGAATCTAGATGTTTACCTGTAATGCAAGGCTGAGACTGCTTACAGATGCTGAGTGGAACTAAAAAAGAGACAGAAAGGCCAAATTTCAGTCTCAAAGTAAGCTATCTGCCCTCATAAACTTTACCAGCATTTATTTTACTACATTTTAGAATTTGTTTCTTTTTTTTAAATTTCTTTAAAAATTTTTTATTTATTTATTTATGATAGTCACAGAGAGAAAGAGAGAGAGGCAGAGACACAGGCAGAGGGAGAAGCAGGCTCCATGCACCGGGAGCCCGACGTGGGATTCGATCCCAGGTCTCCAGGATTGCGCCCTGGGCCAATGGCAAGCGCCAAACCGCTGCGCCACCCAGGGATCCCTTATAATTTGTTTCTATGACTGTCTCTCTCACTACACTGTGAGCTTCCCAAGGCTGGAAAACTTGTTTTGTCAATTTTATCTACGAGTGTTTAGCACAGTATTTATTTGGTACGTAGTAATTCTTAAAAATAAAAATATGACCAAGTTTTCTCCCACAAGACCTATTCAAGACCCTTTATGACTTGATATTCAGTCTTATTGGAGGTTATTCTCCACCTCAAGTTTTTCACTGAAATAAAACCAAATATACCATTTACTTCAGTGTGTTTGCTGTACTGTTTTCTCTGTCTTTAATACCATGTTTTCTTTCTTTCTGGCTATTCACACTTATTTCAGGGCTCAGATTCAGAAATGAGAAAAATGAGAACACAGAACCGATATTAGGAATGAGAACATCTGTAGATCCTTATAAATGCTCAAACATGGGAAGGATTGTGGAAGGCTATAACTAACAACTTTATGCCAATAAATTTGATAAAGTGGACAAATCGCTAGAATATATCTAACCAATACTAGATAAAAAAGAAAATTAAAAAACCAAAATAGTCTGTAGCTATTAAATAAATTTAATTAGTAGTCAAATATCTTCCCACAAAGTAAACTACAGGGCTGGATGATTCCATTGATGAGTTCCATCAAATTCTCAAAGACCAAGAATTTCAATCCTAAATAAAGTCTTTCAGAAAATAGAAAAGGAATTACTGCTCTATTAGTTTTACTAGGTTAACATAAACTATGATACCAAAATCAGATAAGAATATTTATTATAAGAGAAAATTATGGGGCAATCTCATCCACAAATCTAGATGTAAAAATCCTGAACAAAATATAAGTGAGTAGGAAACAGCAATATATGAAACAAGTAATACATCATGACCAAGTTGGGTTTATCACAAGAATAAAACAGTGATATAAAGTTAGACAGTCAACTGTAATTCATCGCATTAAAAGATTAAATGAGAAAAATGATATGATCATCTCATTAGATTCAGAAGCTTTTGCTAAAATTCAACATTCAGGCATGACAGACGCTTAAACTAGGAACAGATAATAGAAACAATCTTGGGGGACCTGGGTGGCTCAGGTGATTAAGTGTCTGCTTTCGGCTCAGGTCATAATCTCAGGGTCCTGGGATCAAGCCCTGCATCAGGCTCTTGGCTCAGCGGGGAATCTGCTTTTCCATCTCCCTCTGTACTCTCTCTAGCTCTTGCTCTCTCTCAAGTAAATTAAAAAAATTTTTAAAGAAATAATCTCATAAAAAATGTTTACAAAAATCTAGAACAAATATCTTTTTTTAGAGGGGAGGAGGGGCAGAAGAAGAGATAATTTTTTTTAAAGATTTATTTATTCATGAGACACACACACACACACACACAGAGAGAGAGAGAGAGAGAGAGAGAGAGAGAGAGAGAGAGGCAGAGACATAGGCAGAGGAAGAAGCAGGCTCCATGTATGGAGCCCGATGTGGGACCTGATCCCGGGAGTCCAGGATCACACCCTGGGCTGAAAGCAGGCTCTAAACTGCTGAGCCACCCGGGAGTCCTGAGAATCTTAAGCAGGCTCCACAACCAGTGCAGAGTCCAACGTCAAGGCTTGATCTCACAACCCTGATATCGGGACCTGGGCAGAAGTCAGGAGTCATATGCTTAACTGACCGAGCCACCCAGGCATCCTAAGAGCAAATATCATTCTTAATTGTGATGTTCAAGACTTTCCATCCAAGACAAGAAGACTGTTCTCATCACTTCTATTCAACACAGAGGTGAAGGCAACATTAAGGCAAGATAAATAAATATAATGCATTGCAGTGGAAGAAAGAAAACTGTTATTGTTTGTAAATGATATGATTGTATATATGGAAAATCTAAAAGAATTTACAGTTTTATAATTTTCCCCAAAAGGTCTCATCTTTTGTTAAACTTTATACTTAGAGAACTTATTTTTTAATGTTAATTTACATTAAATCTTTTTAAATTTCATTTTTAGTTTGTTGCTAATACATAGAAATAAAACTGATTTTTGTATACTGATTTTGTATTTAACAAGCTTACTGTACTCTCTTACTAATTATAATGATTTATATGTAAATCCTTTTGGAATTTTTGTCCATAATCATATAAGCTGTGAATAATGACATGCACCAGGATATATGAACAAAGTCAGATCATACCAGCAAAAGACTATTCATACCAATCTTGTTCACAATCACTGTAAATTGCAAACAACACAAATGTCAATCAACATTAGAGTAGATAAATTCTGGAATATTTATACATTTAGCAATAAAAATGAAATAGTTATATACAACAACATGGATGACTCTAAGAAACATAAGCAAGACACAAAGGATACATATAGTACAATTTCACCTACACAGATTTTAAAAATAAGCACAAGTAGTTATATTATGTACATAATGATTAAACTATTTTTAAAAATCAAGAAAATGACTATCATAAAATTAGGGTAGTGATTTTCTCTAAAAAGAAGGGGAGCATCATGATGAGAAGGGACAGAAGAGGAGTTTTTGGGTATTGGCAATGTTCTATTTCTTGACCTTTATTGTGGTTACCTGGGTGCTCACTTTATAATTATCAAGTTGTATGTTCATATTTTATGAAATGTTCTCTATATATGTTATATTTAATAATAAAAATACTTCAAAAAAGAACATTAGGATAAGCATAAAAGGAAATATTATTTATTTATTTACTTTTAAAGGTTTTATTTATTTGAGAGACAGAAAGCACAAGCAGGGAGAGGGACAGAGGGAGAGGAGGGAGGGGCAGAGGGAGAGGAAGAAGCAGACTCCCTGCTGAGCAGGGAGCTCTATTCAAGGCTCTATCCCAGGACCCTGGGATCATGACCTGAGCCAAAGGCAGATACTTAACCAAATGAGCCACCCAGGTGCCCCAAAGAAAATATTTTTTAGATTAAGAAATCATCTCTGGGAACTAAAATAACGCTATATAATTGTCTGTTAGCTAAATAATGCAGGGAAAAGAAAAACTTATTTCATTTCCCCAGGTCCAAGAGAAATATTATATTATTTATGATAATTTTCAGAAACCCTTTGGAATTTGGGATCTTGGAAAGTGAGTGATCTGAGTACACAGATAAATGTGTTCATCAAAATTAATCTGTGAAGTTATTTCCCTTCAAACTTTCCTTTTTGGTTAGTGGAACTCAGCATTTGTTCATTCAACAATATTTTATTGAGTTCCAATTATGTGTTGGGTACAGCTGAACAAATAAGCAAATGAATATGCTAACCTATTAAAAGTACTCTTGAACTAGAAATCCAAATCAATGACTAATGTCTTCAGCAAGAAAGCACATATCATATCTTTTAACTCTACTTTTAAATTAAGTGGATGAGATCAATGTAATGCTGAATTTGAGATCAACACATGGATTCACACAGACAGGGCCCCAGACAGAGGTCTTATTTAATGTAGAAAGTGCTTTTAGTCCCCCTCTCCAGCTTCTGTTGGAAGCTGATCCAAAATTAGAAAGGAGTATGACAGTTAAGGCATAGAAAGGATGCTTGCTCCATCATAAGTCATCCCATGAGAAGAACACAAGCACAAGCACTGTTCAAACTATTTTTGATAATTTTTTTTACAAAGAAATAGAATATTCTGATATCCAATGTTTCTAACATTTTACATTATAGAATGCTCAACAGGTACTAGTTTACTATTTTTTTATTTCCCACTTATAGCTGATAATATGACATATTTAAACATTTTGACAGTTTTGAAAGGTTCTGAGACAAATGTAACTTTTCCCCATTGATGGTTAAGATCACTTTGAACGGTTTCAGCTTGCACAAGTCATTTTTAGATTCCACACTTGAGCCCAATTTCAAGACCGTACCTCAAATGAGGTAAGAGGCAGCTCTCTTCCCTCTACTTTCAAACATGATCAATTAATGCAGCTGATGTATCTGGGCATAATACTAAGCAGAATCTGGCTATCTTTCAACCTATAACTTTTCATTTTTACTCAAGCACCCACTTATTGGTGTCTCCCTGCAAATTGGTTAAACCTGGAACTGGGCCTTGAACCACCAAAAGCCATCAAGTTACTCCCTTACCAAAAACCCTTCAATGGCTTCCAATTACATCTAGAACAAAATACTTTTTCTGGCACCGAAGTGCTGCACGTACCTCCTTCCCAAGTCTCCAACCTCATGCCATGCCATCCTCTGCCCCCCTTCCACCCTATCCTGGTCCTGAGGCACCTTTCAGGTCCATAAGCCCATGGGCCTCTCACTGTGGCTCCTTGCAGCTGCTGGAAGTTCTTTTACATCATTACTCTTCTTAACCGGACTTGTCCTTTAGGTCTCAGACTTTAGGTCTTAATAGGTTAGGGCCCTTTATAGGCCCTCACAAAAGCTTTCCTATAGCCTTTATATAAAGCTCCTAGGATACTGTATGTGATAAACGATTCAATGGGTTCTCCCTCTTGCAGGGTCACACTAAAAATATCTTGGATCCTGGGGATCCCTGGGTGGCTCAGCGGTTTAGCGCCACCTTTGGCCCAGGGTGGAATCCTGTAGACCCGGGATCGAGTCCCACATCGGGCCCCCTGCATGGAGCCTGCTTCTCCCTCTGTCTGTGTCTCTGCCTCTCTCTTATGAATAAATAAATAAAATCTTAAAAAATTTTTTTCTTGGATCCTAAGCACTTCTGCCTTCGTGAGGTACTTCATTAAAAAAATAATAAAAATTAATTAACTAATAGGTTCTCGTGGGCCCTAAAACGTTCACTTTTCTAAGTTAAAACAAAAACAAAAACAAAAACAAAAACATGTTCTTTGGCCTTAAAGAGTCACTGTTTTCTTGACTTTACAAGAAGTTCGAACATGGTCTTGGTTTCCGCCCACTTCCCCCCAAAGCGTGGTCGAGCGGCCTCGGCTCCGCGCCTCCCCAGCCTGGCGGGTTGGCGGCCCAGCCGCGAGGCCTGGGAGCGCCCACCGAGGGGACGCGGCGTCGCGGCCCTTCAGACACTCGCAAGGAGAAGCCGCTCGGGCCGGCGGTGGCTGAGGACTGGTGTGCGTCGGCGCTGCCTCGGCCCGGACCACCAACACCTACCTGAGGGCCGCCCCAGCTCGGCTCAAGCCCACCCTTCGCGGCGCTCTCCACCCGCTCCGGGCTGTCCTCCCGCTAAGGCCATCAGCCCTCCTCCTGCCCCCAGGCAGGGAAAAGTGAGGTTGTTACTCCTTCGTTGGGAAGGCAAAGCCCCCATTACCTGGGCCTCCTGGCTATCGGAGTGCGCCTGCGCCGAGGAAAGCGCGGGGTCAGACGGAGGTCGTCTGCGCAGGGCTGCTCCCTGCGCGCGCAGCCTCCGGGCCACCTCAGCGTCTGCCTCAGCACCGCAGTCTCCAAGACCCCAGGCGCGGGGGGGGGAAATGGCCCCACTTTGGCCCCGAGGTAGGGTTTTGGGTCTCTGTGGAGACTGTTGGGCTAACCTTGACACTTCCTCGGTAGCCTACTCCCATCCCCAATCACACATTCCTGTAACGCCCCTCCCCCCGACTTTCCAGCGGCACCTCCATTGTGTCCTTAGCTTTAACCTTTCTCTTCCACATCATTCATTCACTTGTTGAGTCGGGTCACTCTTTTATTCAATAAATATTTGTTGAGGGCACACTATGTGCCAGGCACTGTGCTATGACTGGGGTACAGTGGACACACATGCCCTCATGGAAGTTAGAGTTTAGTCTACTTTTCAAGAAACCCGTTTTCCAACCTCTACCTTCCAAGAGGGTTTGCCCCTCTCTACTCACGCTCATTCCCATTTGCTAGCTGTTGATTCCTATACTCCCTTTGACAAAATCCAGTTGACATAGGCATGTCCTGGTCCTTACCAGTCGGCTGGTCAGGTCTCCAACTCTGGATGAAGGGGAATTATCTGAATTAGCCCAAAAGAGAGGAAAAGATAATGCTAATACCAAACCAGAAGTGGACAAGCACTTTCTCCTCTCTCCCTCTTTTTATTTATTTATTTATTTATTTATTTATTTATTTATTTATTTATTTATTTATTTATTTATTTGATTTATTCGTGAGAGACACACACAGAGAGAGAGGCAGAGACACAGGCAGAGGGAGAAGCAGGCTCCATGCAGGGAGCCCCACGTGGGACTCGATCCCGGGTCTCCAGGATCAGGCCCGGGGGGGGGGGGGGGGGGGGGGGAGGCGGCGCTAGACCCCCGAGCCACCTGGGCTGCCCTCTCCCTCTTTATTATTGTCGTCTGTCCCCATCCCTCACCCAGTTCATTGCCTGCTGTGCAGATTGGCGGAGAGGAAATCAGTTTACCAATAAGTGATTCAGGACAAATTAGAACCAATAGGAAAAGAGCCACCTGCCGATGTTTTAGTCCTACTCAACCAATTTTGCTTCCTTCAACTGCTCCTCAGAGTAAAATCAGAAGCAGCCCGGGTGGCTCAGCGGTTTAGAGCCACCTTCAGCCCAGGGACTGAACCTGGAGACCCGGAATCGAGTCCCCACGTCGGGCTTCCTGTATGAAGTCTGCTTCTTCCTCTGCCTGTCTCTCTCTCTCTCTCTCTGTTTCTCATGAATAAATAAATAAATAAATAAATAAATAAATAAATAAATCTTAAAAAAAAAAAAGAAAAGAAGAAGAAGTAGCCCAGGCTCCTGGGTGTAATCTGGTCAAGAGACTTCTTGTATTTTAATATAAAGTGTAGCTTGTCAACATATCTTCTTTCTTACATACTTCAAATTTGTCTCCCTGCCTCTAATCTCCAGTTTATCCTATACACTCATGTTAGAATTATTCTTGTAAAAATATATTTGATCATGTCATTCTTTGCTTACACATTGTTTTGTTTTTGTTTCTCTTTCTTGTTTTGATTTGGTTACAAGGTCTGTTATAACTGACCCCACCTATCTTAGCAGGCTCAACACCAACACTATCCTCACTCTAATTGCAAATTATATCCCATTTGCACATCCCTATTGCTCCCAGCTACAGTAAGTTTCTCTTTTTTCTCTATAAATCGTTTTATCCATCTGGAGTAGCATTTATTGGATAATGTGCCACAGATTGTGCTAGATGTGGGGAACTATGACATAATTTCCTCAAGACCCTACTAAACTCTGAGGATCACAAACTGCCAAGAAAGCAACCTGCATATATATATGGGCATGCTTCCTAGAGAAAGAGATTATCATTATGAGCTTAATCAATAGAGTGAATAGGAGTTAGCCAAGCAAGGGAAATGGAGAACATTCTATGCAGAGGGAATTCTGAGGAAATGAAGAAGCTCAGCTAGTCCAGAGCACAGTACATGGAAGAGGTAGACAAGGAGCCAGAATATGTAAGGTCTTGTGGACTATATTAAGGATTTTGGATTTCATCCCATAATGAAGGTATGGTGGCGAGCTGGACTGAAGTATTTGAAGCAGAGGAGTGATCTGATTTGTGTACTGGAGAGAACATTCTATCTGCCCTGAGAGGAATGGATTAGGGATTGGAGTTGGGGTGGTGGTGGCTAGTGATGGAAGCAAGACTGGAGTAAGAAGTAGCCCAGGCAAGAGATGATGGTGGCTTGAGTTAGGTGTTAGTAGGGGGTTGAAGAGATGTGATGGAGACATTTAGGAGTTAAAATTAATAGGTATTGGTAAATAATTAGATTGATTAGGAGGAAGCCAGAACAACAGAGCCTAGAACATAGTAGGCATTCGATGAATATTTATTGAAGAATGAATACAAATATTCTGGCTTGGATAGCTGGAAAGATAATGGTGCTATATACAGATATAAGAAACGTTGGTTCTACCAGTTACCCAGGCTAGTGTAGGAGTAAGGATGACAATTTGGTTTTGGACATGTTGAAAGCAAAGTGCCTGTAGGATACTGAGTGGAGATGTTCCATAGGCAGTTAGATGTATGTGTCAGTACCTGAAGAGAAAAATATGAACTGGATATGTAGATTTAAGAAATAGATATTAATTAAATTAGTATGAGTGAGACAGCTTAGAGCAATGATTTTTTTTCAAAGTAGGGATCTCAACCCATTAATAGTAAAATCAATTTAGTGGTCACAACAAACATTTTAAAAATGAGATAGAATAAAATGCAATAGAAAATACTGGGGTTTAGCTTCTGAATTAAAAGAAATATAGTATATGACTTTGTGAAAGTTTACTTCACTAATATATTACAAATGTATTTAAGTATGACTAGGTGGCAATATAAAAAAGAACTTGCATGTTGCTGTCAAAAAATTTGAAAAAGATTTTTGAAAAAATCAAGAGACAAAAAAAATCAATATCTAAACTATGTTCGGAGAAGAGACTAAGGTCTAAGTTGGATTGCTGACAAGCAGTTAGGGAGAGGCATGTATGGGTGCCAGAGGAATTAGCTCAGAGGAGGCCCTATTGTGTTGAGGCTGGTGTGTTAGGAAAAATGTTTCAGAGAGAAGACTTGATGTATCAATCTCAAATGTCTATTTTCCTTTCTAGACTAAGCAATTTGAATTCAGGAACCATGTTTTGTGTGTCTCTGCACAGGGGCCATGCTAATCTTCTCTGTATTGTTACTATTTTAGTATATGTGCTGCCAAAGCCCAGAAACTATGTATTAAATTATTTTCTTATCTCTGGTACTTAAAAAAATGCCTACCACATAGTAGGTCCTCAATAGCTGTTGAATGAATAAACCACAGTGTGCACTTTAGATAGATTACTCTGATGGCAATCTGGAAAGGGAGAGGTTAGAGGCAGGTTTTTTTTTTTTTTTTTTTAATGAGACTATTGCATAGTCTAGGTGAGCAATAATAAAGTCATGAACTATGACAATAATGGAAAGAAAAGGACAAATTTAAGTTATTTATGAGGCAGAATTAACAGGTCATGATGACTGCTTACATGTGAACGTTATAGCCAGCCTCCAGGATGGCCTCCTGTAATCTTTTTATTCCACTCTTGTGTAGTCCCTACCCACAGTGCATGAGGGTTGGCCTGTGAGAGGGACAGAATATGGCGGAAATTATTATAGTTTACTTCTGAGGCTAGATTATAAAAGGTATTGTGACTTTCACCTTGCTTTTTTGGTGAAAAAAAGGTGCTTTCACCTTGCTCTGAAACAGTAACTCTATATTCTGAGGACATTCCAACAACCCCATGGAAAAGTCCATGTAGAAAGGAACTGAGATTTACTGCCAATAGCCACTATCAACTTGCCAGGCATGGAATTAAGCCGTCCTGGAAATGGATTGTCCGGCCCTAGTCAAACATTCAGATGACGGCAGCCCTATTCAATATCAGGACCAAAAGCTCCTGAGACACTGGGAACTAGACAACTCAGCTAAGCAGAATTCCTGACACAAGGAAACTGTGAGAGATAATGAATGTTTATTGTTTTTTAAAAACCACTAAATTTTGATGTTAATTTGCTACATTTGTTATGCAGCCTAGATAACCAAACATGGGGGATGAAAGAGGAGAATGGAAAGACTACCAGCAAGGCTATGAATTGGAGTACGAAATACTTGAAGAAGGAGCAGGTAAGGGATTGGGATGGGGGAACATTGTGAGTTATTTTCAGGCCCTGTGTTCATCTTGTCTGTAGGATTTCCAAAAGGATATATCCATAGGTAGTCTTTGCCCCTCACTCTGGAAGGCGTACTCATCCTTGGATATTCAGTTCACGCGTCACTTCTTTGAAAACTTCCTGTTTTGCTCAGGCAAAACCTAAATCTGAGCATTTATTTCACGTTATTACAGCAAACATAAATCACTTTGCATTGCAATTATCTATTTTCAGTTTGTTAGATGCTTGCTAAAATAATACTTTTGAGAAATTTGGTGTGTATCCATGACATATTTTCCCTTAGTACGGCCGTTCGAGCTTTTGGAGGGGACCGAACCCGCCACTGGAAGACCTGGAGCCACACCGTCCGCCCGGTTCGGAAATGTAACTCCCACCTACACCTACCTAGGTCTAGCTCCGCCCGTACCTGGGTTGGGCTTATCCGCTCCTTAGCTCCGCCTCCACCCAACCCCGATTGGCTGGAGGAGGAAATCGGCCCGACCAGTAGTCCCTTCTTGAAGGGGCGGAGCCGGGCTCCGTTCTGGTCTGGCCGACGCAGGCCGAACCGGGCCGAGGAGATCCGAGTGGGACCGTGGCGGGCAGCGCCGCGGCCCGGAGCGGACGTGGCAGGGCGCGCCCCACCCAGCGGCCCGGCGGAGCCAAAGATGCTGGCTTCTGCCACACCGCCCCTCCCGGGCTCCCAGCCGCCTCCGGCCTCGCCCTTCCCGCTGCTGCTGCTGGCGGTGCTGAGCGGCCCGGCATCCGGCCGCGTCCCCCGCTCGGTGCCCAGGACCTCGCTTCCTATCTCCGGTAAGGCGTGGGCGCCCTCGCCCTCAGCCCTTCTTGCGGCGCCCAGGCCCCGCCTGCAGATGCCGGTACCCAGCTGCCCTCCTACGGACCCCGGCAGGCGCTCTGGGGCCCCTCGGCGCAGCGCACCGAGTCCCGCCCCCGCCCCGCCGGGGCCGGGGCAGAACCCCCTACGCGGTGCGGCTCCGCCGCATCGCTCCCCCGCGTCGCGCTTCGGCTCCCGAGACACGCCCGGGCGGCTCCGGCTGCCCCTTGACCGCGGAAGGGTCAAGCCCCTCACCGTGCAGACGCGGCCACTGAGGCCTATGATGGGGTAGGGGCTTCCTGAGGTCGTCCATTTCGGAGTTCCCCCTTCCCGAACATATACCTGTGTCCCTCATGCCAGCTTGACGCCCATTCTTCTTCCAAACTCATTGGTCTTTCATTCTAGTCCAGCCATCCATCCTTCTCCATCTCAGCATTTGCATCTGCCCACTTCTCAAATCCGGTCCCTCCTTATCCTCATTTATACCTCCCTGCAAGCCTTTTGCCCTGCTGGCAGCCCTCCTGTCTCTAACACACTTCCCAGGCCTCTCACAGCTGACAGCAACTCCCATTCTCTTGATCCATGATCCATCGTAACCCCTGGCATTCCCTGCTCTCTCTACCCGTTCCCTACATTGGATGTTGGGAAACTGTTCAGTGAATTGACTTAAAATTCTGTTTAAATGATTTTTAAAGTATTCCGAAGGGGGAGAAAAAAAGGAAAAAGGAGATTTGGTCCTTTTAAAAGATGTGGAAGAAGCCAGGGGATGCCACAAGGTTAAAAATGGTTATTGGAGTGATTCACACTTAATAGGCTCTCTGCTGAGGTGGACACGGGCATGGCCACAGACCTTTTCTTCTTAGTGGACAGTGTTAGTGCCTTGTGCAGAGAAAACTAGTGAAGCTGAGAGGACAGCCTGTTGGCAAAATCTCACAAGTGGGTAATAGTAATGTAGAGGCTAAACTTCAGACTAGTGACATATTGGGTTGCTATGAATTAAGAAGACAAAGTTGTGGTCAGAGACTGGGGTTTGTTTGTGCTGAAGCAATAGCCACAAAAGAGAACTGAGGTTGCTGGCTGGGTTGATAACCAGAAATGCAGAGAAGTCCAGATAGCAAGGTGAAACAGAGTTGGGGATATAAAGAGTGGTTGGGTGTTTAGGGCTTATGATGAGCATGAGAGAATAGGCAGGCACAGCATAGACATGAACATGGGTGTGGGATGATGGGGTGGGAGGGGCTCTGTATATCAGCACATCTAGGAATGAATGGCTCATAGCCATTCTGTCTGACTTGACGGTAGCTGAGCAGATAAAGTAGGTAGAGTAGAGCTGTGTTGGTGCAGGGGTAGGGGCCCCAGAGTGAGCTAAGAAGGTAAATACAGGCTAACTTATTTGTTATAATCTTTAAATAGAGTTCTGAATGATGCTATGAGGTTTAGATTTGGCCCAAATGAAGCACAAGTCTAAGTAGGGATGAAAGGAACCGTTTGTGGAACACATAGTCCATGTCAGTTGCTTCCTCCTATGTTACCTCATTTTATTCTGTCAACAAGCCTGGTTGGTGGTGTTTACAAGATGAGGAAAGTGATGCTCAGGGCAAGTAACTTATTCAAGATCATACAGCTGGTAAGTGAAATAGCCACATTTAAACTTGGGCTGATCCATTTACAAAGCACATACTCTTGCCTACTCTTTACCTCTTTGGGTGGAAATAGGGTGGGATTGGGAAGGACAAGAGCAGTGGGAGAGATAGGAGATAGTCTCCTAAAGTGTTTTCTAAGTGAAAAGAAGTTACTAGTAAGTAGGGATTTAAAAAAAGGAAATTTAGAAAGTACTTGTACCTTCTATAGTATTTTCAAGTTATGTATCATGTTGCCATGAATAGAGATTACAGACTTAATATTTATGCTGATATTTTAATAAAGTGTTCTATTTTTACAGAAAAAGCATATTTGACTGCCCTGTGTGCTAAGTATTCTGGCCTCATCAGTTCTCTCACTTTGTGGAGGTTAGGTGGTTGGCCTGTCAAAGCTCTGTTTTTCCCCCTCATGGCTGCTAAATAAATGGCACTTGGGAGAAAACAGAAATTGAGCCCTTGGGCTTTGCCCTTATGGACCCAGCCCTTATGAAGCAATGGCTGGTATCACTCTCCTCTCTCACCCTCTCTTCCTGCCAGAGGCTGACTCCTATCTCACCCGGTTCAGCGTCCCTCAGACGTACAATTACTCTGTCCTCCTTGTGGATCCTGCTTCCCATACACTCTATGTCGGCACTCGGGACACAGTCTTCGCTTTATCCCTGCCCTTCTCAGGGGAGAGACCTCGCAGGGTGAGAGATGAAAGTGGGGAGGACCCCAGACCCCACAGCATGGGATTAGATACATGGTTTTATGGGATTGATGGTGGTGGGGGTGTTCATAATAACCAAATATGTACCAGTGGTGGTGGTAGGAGGGGGAGTGTTGGTGAAGATGAACAGATGAAGAATATTAACTTCATTATATTTGCTAAGGGTGATCGAAGGGGTGGTCATGGTGACTGGGGAGGCCATGAGGGAGGCTCATGTTGGGGAGGAGGTCATTTCTTTAGGGCAGTAGCTTTTAAACTTTTTTGACCACCCCTTAGTTAGAAATACACATTTTGACCTAGTAGAAGTATATATTGAAAGAACCCTTTCTTCAAACAGTATCTGTTCTCCTATATGTGATATATTCTGATATATTCTATTTCATTAAAAATAAAAGCAATTTATTTCATTACTGGTTAATGGGTGGAGACCTCCGGTTCGAAAAATAGTGCTCTGTTCAAAAAATAGTGCTCTGACCAGTGGTGATGGTCGGGTGAGGCTGGGAGGAGCTCTGAAGTTCTCAAATTGATGGAGGTTGTGGAACTGTTTTACCTACCCTGACTTGGAAGGAATTTGGGAAGAATCTGGGGGAAACAGTTAACTCCTCCTTTCTCAGATTGACTGGATGGTGCCTGAGGCCCACAGACAGAACTGTAGGAAGAAAGGCAAGAAGGAGGTAGGTGTGAATCTCGTCCCTGTCCTGAGTGTCAGTTGAGACCTAGTTCCAGCTCTAAGTCTGTGTCTGTCCCCTGCAGTGCTCCCATCCCAGTGGGCCCAGGCAGGGACTCTAACACCATGGCATCACCTGTCATCTCTGATCCAGAGCTGCATCTAACTGTCCTGACACTACCCTACCTTTCCTCGTACCTGCTGCTTCTGATTCTCTCTAATCATCTCTGACCCCCAGGACGAATGTCACAATTTTGTCCAGATTCTCGCCATTGCCAATGCCTCTCACCTCCTCACTTGTGGCACCTTCGCTTTTGATCCGAAGTGCGGGGTTATTGTGAGTGACGGGGTGGGAGGATGGGAAGGGTTTTCTGTGAGTGACCATGATGGGAGGCATGCTTAAGGCAACACTTGTGCATGATAAACATTGGGGGTGAGGGATGTCCTCACAGGGTGGAGCCTTTGTCTGCCATGGAAGGGGGGTAGGAAAGGGAGGAGAGGAGGGAGGTTGTCTGTAGAAGGTGAGGTATACAGAGTAAAGAGAGAAGAGGGATGGTGAAGGGAATTAGGGATGCTAGCTAGACTCAAGAGAGGATAAATCCAGGAGAGACTTTAGAGGTCAGTAACTCATGTTTCCTTTGCTCTGTGTATGTTTTGTCCAGGGAGCTGAGGTCCATTTCTTAATCAGCACAATCCATGCCTGCTTCTTCTTCCCATGGTGTGTGACTGTCTCTTACCCCCTTCTCCCACCTCTCCTGCCAACTTCATTCTGTATGGGCTGTTACGTTCTGCTGTCATGGCTTTTGAGGTCACTGCCTACCGGTATAGTACTTGCCAGCCCCATATTTGGCCTTCGAAGTGGGCACTCTTGTCAGTCACCTTTTCTTCTAGGTCCTGTTCATTGCTGCTGGAGCCCTGGGCATCTCCACTGTCACACTCAGGCAGGCTTGGGACATATATGTTCCTAGTCATGTTTAGGTTTATCATGGTGTCTAGAGTTAATGGGGCTGGTAGCATCTCAGGAAGGTCTTAATGATTTTGAACCCTCAGCTTTTTCCATCAGCAATCCAATAGCCAGTGATTGGTCCTCTGCCAGCACATGCTTGTGACAAGAACCTAGGATGAGTTAAAAGCCTCCCATGTTCTTCGTATTCAGCGGCTTCCCTTTCTGCTCCAAGGAACAATAGGAGGACTGCAATGACTCCCTGTCCTGGCTCTGATCCTTAACTGTAGATTTTGACTTGATCCTTCTGCAAACTGTAGTAGTCCTTGCCACCTGGATCTCATCAGTGTGTCTATGTCTAAAGTTCTCCTTGTTGAAGACCATCCTCATATATCTGGTTTTGAATGCTATAATTGTATATGCTTAATTGCCCTGGTCAGTCCCTCCAGCTGCCCCTGGGGTTGGTTGGGGTTTTGTCGAGTCCTTTTCACAATGTGGATAGAAGACTCTCCACCAGGGTGTGGATAGCTTCCTCATCTTCGGAAGGTTTCCAGTTTGGGGTGGTATTGAAAATCTCTATATCCTATCAAGTGATGTTGAGGGTATAGTTTCCTTAGAGTTCTCACAAAGCTTGGAAAGTAGTGGTGGAACTGCCATTGCCCTGTAGGTCTTTTTCCTACAGGGAAAATGGTTCCGTGGGGAACCCATGGGTGTGAATGCCAGTGCCATGGCTTGTAGACAACATGATCACTTCAAGTTAGTCTCCTAGGGCCTTCTATTCTTCCTTGGCTCTCTAAGGGGACCCTAATGGCTGCTAGATTCTAAATATCTGGGCATAAAATATTCTGTGTATCCTGTCAGGATTGGTGTGACTTGGATGGTCATCCACTTCTGAGAGAAATCAGCAACCAGAATGAAGCCAGGGGTCTACTTCTGTGCAAAGAACCATCCTTTGGTCAAGGCTTGTTTGTAGGAGACTATAGGGCACAGCCCTCTTACCCCAAAATCAGCTGTGTTAACTCTTCAAGCCATTATATTAAGACTCCCCTCTAGACTTCCTGAATGCTCTCTTGTACCTTTACTGTTTTATCCTGCTGCCTGGCAACTCCTGTATGCTTAAGCAAGTTCTTGCTTTAGCTTTAGTGTCAAACCTCTCATGTCTCAGACTGCTGACTTTGACACCATATATAACTATTATGTAAGAGCTTTGACTAGCTGATCCAGACACAACAACTCACTCAGAGTTGATGGCTCAGAGAAATGGAGGTTTTTACAAAACAAAATTCAAGCACTGGACCTACCAGCTCTGACAATGTGGAGTGCTACCATTCAGTGATAGCTCATTGGACATTGGAGGAGAATATTTTAGTTTGCTTTGTTGAGGGAATTCTAGCAATTAACAGAGAAAAATGCTAGACTTAACAATAGCAATGACAAGACTTCCCAGTTGAAGGTATACTCTGTCCCAGGTGTGGTACTAAATACTTGACATTCAAGATTGAATTTAGCTCTAAGCATCATACTGTGATATTAAGTATTATTTATATCCATTTTATAAGCAAGGAAATGGAAGCTCCAAAAACTTAGGTACCATGTCTAATAATAGATAGCTGGCAGAGGCAGAGCCAAGATTTAAATCTAGCTATGTCTGATTCTGCTCCACTACCCTGTCCCTCTAGCCCAGCATGCAGCACAGAAAGACCTTATGTGGTTTCAATGTCCTGTGACATTTGTCCTGTTTCATGTAACAGGAACTATCTTTACTTTTCTTTTTTTCCCCCCTCTTTGGCCAAGAAGAGTACAAGACAGATAAAGGACCTTCCCCAGGTGGTCCTTTATCTGTCTTGTACCCTATTTGGCCAAAGCCAAAGGATGTGGAGATTCCACTCCTACAACTCAGTGAGAGCCTTCCTGCCTAACTCTGTCTTTCAGCTGGAGGGATTTGCCTTTGCTACAACTGATGATACAATGAAGACTCTCAACATTCAGACTGAGGCTGTAGTGGAGTGGCCTTGCCCCCCTTCAGACCCTAATTAAATGTTATTTTGACAAGACAGTAATCATAACCTGTCTAGTTAATGCTTAACTTGCTTAAATATTATAAACTTAGATAATACAATGGTGCCATTTGAGGAAACTAGATGAGGACTCATTTTGACATACTGAGTTTTAAGGGGCTGATAGGCCATCTCTGTGAGGAAGCCCAGCAGCCAAGTGCAGACATGGACCAAAGATTGGAAGGCATCAGACTTTCAAGAATTTGGGGAATAATTTGCATAGAAAGTCTAGCTGAAAGTATAAGAATGAGTGAGGTCATTTAAGTATATGTGACAAGGACTAAGGATTGATCCTTACACAGTTAGGGGCTAGAAAGGAAAATAGAAGCAACCAAAGGAGATAGAGAAGCAACTGTTAGGGGGAGGAGGGTAGACTTCTAAGAGAATCAAGACGGGATATTTGAAGGAGGGAGTAAGTAAAAAATATCAGATGCTGCATAAAGGTTAGGAGGATGAGCACTGAGAAAAGAGTCCTAGCTGAAATGTAGTCTTAGGCACAGGGATGGGAAAGTGTGATTTGTTTTTTGGAAATAATAGGCCATCTGGGTTTGGTCAGAGGAAAGTATTCATTTTGAGCAGTATTAGGAAGTAATTTGGGCTAATGGGTTTATATTCTAGGCAATGGTGAGTCATTTTGTCATTTTCTTAAAAATTTATCAACGCAGTGACTGATATTGTAGGAATATTAATCTGCTGTGGATATGAGAGTAAACTAGGAGCAAGGCTAGGCAGTATGGAGAGAAGGCAGTTACTGCTGTAGTTGAGATGAGAGGTAAGAAGAGCCACCGTAGCATGTATTATTAACCTTTGTCCACAGTACCCAGACATCTTGGTACCCTCTTGCTGAGCTGTCATCCATCTCTTTTCTCAAGCTAGACTGCTCCCACTGCCACAGATGAGATGCTTGTGCCTTTGTGGGGCCTTTCATTCCAGAAGACTGTATTGACCCAGTGTTCCCTTTTTGGGAACCTCAGATCACATCTAATTTTAATGGGACTTATGCAAGGCTCTTTTGGTAAAACAAAACCTTATTTACTAACTATAGTCAATAGATGAGCCATCAGAATGGGCCTGCAGTATTTTTATACTCAGGGGATATAGATCTATGTTGCTATTCCAACTACCATTGATGTAATCAGGCTCCAGCAACACTACATACCTTCCCTAGTGAACTAGAGGTATTGTGTCTGGTTCTTCTAAGCCATAACTTTGATTCCTGACCAGCCAGACTTAACTTCCCTGCCAGTTTCCGGTTGAAGTCAACCCTGGTTTTCGTTTTTAGATGTTATCTTGAAGGCTGTCTTCATGCTGGATGCTCAGGTAAGATAACTCCTGGCTGGCCCTGGTGAACTCCTACATCTCTTGCCTCGTGTCCAGATTGGGTCTGCTATAGTCCCTGAATGAAGAAGGCAGTTACTTGCCAAATCAGTGAATTCTGTCTTGACTTTCAGGTCTTCATTGACTGCAGATTCCCTTCTTCCTTTCTATGTATCCTTGACTCTGGTCCTGTCTTTTGTCCTTGGGGTAGGAGTAGGGGGAGGATGGCCCTTCTCTCTCAGCCCCGGGACTTGAGATGGTCTCATATCGTCCTGCACTCTTCTTTATCCTTCCTAAGAGCTCTAGTCCTCAGCAGACCTGCTTTCTTCCCTTCATTGTCCTTGTCCTGTCACATGGTCCCCAGTCAGTTGCAAACCCTAGCATTTCAGAGGAAGGATCTGCCTCTCGGCCTCTTAGTGTCTTCTAGGGCCATCTGTGGTGTTTTGTCACCAGAGCATGTGGGTATTGGTACCAGGGGAATGGAGGAATAAACTGATGTAAAGGGGGATGGCAGAGAGGGGAAATGCTGGAATGGATGGGGGAATCAGGAATAACAGACTGGGAGCTTGGGTTGGTAGTGGGTGAGTGGGAGATGAATGGAAATTGGGCTTTTCCTTCATCTGACCATCTTTGTAATTCTCACCATGAGCCTTTCTGTGACCCTAAACCAATTGCCCCCTTCTGGTCTATAGGATGTGTCCAGTTTCCAGCAGGTTGAAAGACTTGAGAATGGCCGGGGGAAATGTCCTTTTGAGCCAGCTCAGCGGTCAGCAGCTGTAATGGCTGGTGAGTGGGGAGAGCCCAGCCCTGTGGCTCCTTGCTGTAATTGCCTCCCCCCCCCCCACTGCTGTTAGAATTTCTGTGTCCTTTCTTTCCTTTCCTTGCAATGTCTATCATTCCCATGTCTCTTTCTAGCCTTTTCTTTTCTCCCCACTGTGCCTGTGTCCTCTTGCTTTTTCCCAGATTCTGCCCCTGGTTTTCTCTCTAGTACGTATCCTCTGCACTGTGAATGTGAGTGTTTGCTCTGTTAACCTCATTTTCTTTTCTCATGGTGCTCCCCCCCCAACCCCTGTTTATAAGAGGAATCTACTACAGTGCATATTGTAATAGATTTGGGAGAAGTATAAAGAAGAACCTAAGAAGCCTGTAGAATAGCATTGTCCAAAGTACTTTGCAGGACAGTAGAAATGTGCTATGTCTGTGCTGTCTAAAACGATAGCTGCTAGCTACACGTGGCTCTTGAGCCCTTGAATAATGTGACTAGTTTGACAGAAGGGAGGAATTTTAGTGTCTGACGTCTGCCATCTTTGCACAGCTCTAGAGTATCAGACAACAACTGCCAATATTGCAGGATATTTCTTTCTAGCTTTTTAATTATATGTGTGTGTGCATTTGCATTTATATTCAGGCACATAAATTTTGCTGGGCAGCTCTTTGTTGCTCAGAGGAATCCATCATCAGTAATGACTTAAATAAATTCCTGCTGTTACTTCCTTTGACCAAGCTGTATATAGTTCAAGTGTGCAGGGTTCAGTCACTGTTGATGTCTACATCTTTTTTTGGAGAATGACTATGTAATTCTTTAGTGGCCACAAAGTGAATTTTTTGTATGCTATGTAGCCTATATTCTAGGTCAGACCACCTCATGCACACCCTTCAAATTCAGTGAGAATCCTGCCATTTTCTCACAATAGTATACAAAAACAGGTTAATAGAAATTTTATGTGTGCATAGATTGTAAAACTTTTAAATGTCATGCCACATGGGTTTAGTTTTGAATTTTGTCATGTAACTTTATATCATAGGCATTTTCTGTATGATTTAAAATTTTTTTGTGAAGAAAAATTTTAACAACCTGTTGCTACCCATCCTGTGAGCATACTATAATTTAATTAAGCAATCCCAAATCACTGATATGTTTATTTGATTTCCAAATTTAATTTACCTCAAAGTTTTTGGTAGTCCCCATCACACTGTAATGAATGTTTTTGTGCATTAATTTTTATTCTGATTTTAGATTGTGTCAAGATTCCTGGAAATAGATTACTATTTAAAAGGGTGTGAACATTTTTATGGCTCATTATTTGTCGCTAATTGAGTTTTTAGAAAGAGTGTTCCAGTTTACACTCTAAATCAGCTGGAATGAGAGTGTTTTGTTTTCTTCTCAAATAAATTTTACTAGAATGATATTGTCATTTTAAAAGATCTTTGCTAACTTGAGGCTAAAAATGGAAAGATCTTATTTATTTAAGAGCAAGAGCAAGAGAGAGAGAAAGAACAAGCTGGGGGCAAGGGCAGAGGAAGAGGGAGAAGCAGACTCCCCGCTGAGCAGGGAGCCCAGGACCCTGGGATCATGACCTGAGCCAAAGGCAGACACTTAACCAACCGAGCCACCCAGGCACCCCTAATTTGCATTTCTGTGAATATTAGTGGAATTAAACATTCTCCATATTTTTTGTACTTATTTTTATTTCTTTTTTGGTAAATCTTCTCATATTCTTCGGCCAGTTATCAGGTAGGCTATGTGTTTCAATCTATATCTTTTCCTTTGTGGTTACATTTGTTTTTAAACTAAATCCTTTTTTAGTTATAAAGCAGATAAAAATTTTTCTTATAAAATTTCCCCCCAGGGATCCCTGGGTGGTGCAGCGGTTTGGCGCTTGCCTTTGGCCCAGGGCGCGATCCTGGAGACCCGGGATCGAATCCCACGTCGGGCTCCCGGTGCATGGAGTCTGCTTCTCCCTCTGCCTATGTCTCTGCCTCTCTCGCTTTCTCTCTCTCTCTCTGTGACTATCATAAATAAATGAAAATTAAAAAAAAAAGCTTAAAATTTCCCCCCAAATGTTTAACTCTTTGATCTGTTTGGAACTTACTTTGATGCATGGCATGAGATGGAGATCTAAATTAATTTTCCCCAATTAACTAATCAGTTGACTTAGTAGCATTCATTGTATTGCTTTCCCTTTCTTTACTGACATTTGTTCTGAGCTTTATCATAAAATTAATTTTTACCCATTCTTTTGGACTACATTTTATGAAAAACAGAATTTGGGACACAAGCTCTAACAGTGAAATTTTTTTTTCTTATGCATGGCTTTATAGGAAACGTCTTAAAAGCTAGCTATACAAATTAAATCATTCTTAGTCATAGAGTGAATGACACCCCTTTTCTGAAAAGTAATAAAATGACAAAATTTTTGAAAATGAACATAAGTCTAAATCTAGTAAATACATAATTTGTCCTTTTATCATCCATCGGCAATTGAAATTGACAAGATCTTGTTTATAGTCATATATGTTTGCATAAAACAGTTTAGTCAGTAGTTTTCTTGGCTTTTTATCAAAGGTCTTTGGCAAAACTCTGAGCCAGTTGTTGGGTCATTAAGAAAGATTTATCAGTTTTAGCAGTTGTCTCTTGATTCTCTATAACTTTTTATCAACAAAATGACTTCTCAATTATATCAGTCTAAGGTAATTAATTAACACACTTTCTTTGTTTCAAGCAGTAATCTTTACATTCAACCTTCTGATGTAATCTCTCTGTGGTCCAGTCAGCAAGTGAATTCACATTAGCATGTGGTTTAAGAACACAAATTTCATAAATAAGATCATCGTATGACAAAGAACATTTTCAAAAAGGAAAAAGGGTTTCAAGTTTTTTTTTTCGGATAATAAAATTCAAGTTGCCTTTCAGCTGATAATTGATGGAAATGATAAGTCACTTTCTAACAGATTAGAATGGCTAGCTTCTCCGTGTTTCTTCGATCCAAATCATAGTCAATACCAATATTACACGTTTTCCTCTGAGGTTCGTACTTTATAGGGCTATAATTTAAATTTCTTTACACTTGACATAAGTGCCAGTATTCACTGGTGTTTTCTTTCTTTCTTTTTTTTTTTTTTTTGTTTCACTGGTGTTTTCAATGTTGATTACTCTGCTGCCCCTTTGTTTTGAAAATAGCAGCATAGAAAAGAGTGACAACATTATGTAAGAACTAGGACCTAAATTCCGTTAGGATCTGTAAAAATGTCCGTAAGGATAATAGAGGTATGTTGAAATAAAAAGAAGAACTTTTAGTAATGAAAATAATATTAGAATGTAATAGCAGGAGCATTTCTAGTTTTAAATTATAAAAATTAGTGTGCATTGTGGATAATTGAGAAAATATAGAAATATATAATGAAGGAAGTGAAAAGCTTATTGTAATTCAGTAATCACCAGGTAGCCAGTGTTTTTATTTTTGAGTCTTGTCTTCTGTGTCTGTGTGATATTATCATGCATATTGGAATTATCATGAATATTTCACTTAATATTATATACTGAAATTTTCTCAGAATTAATTATTCAAAACATGATTTTTAGTGATTCCATACTCTTCCATCACTTGAATGTAGCACAGTCCTATTTCCATATAATTATACACTCAAAATGTAAAATAAATTATTGCTTTCATAAATACTGCCACAGAAGAAATCCTTTCACATAAATGTTTATGCAAATCCTTTACACAAATCTAATTAATTGCGTATGAGTCAATCCAGACAGTAGAATCGCTGGGCCAAAGGGTGTAAACGTTTTTATGGTACTTGGTGGATTTCGCCAAATTGCCCTCCAGTTAGTCTTGCCAGTATTGACCAGAGGCTCTCTTTCATTGCACCCTTTGTCAGTCCTAAGTAATATAGTTAATAAATAGACAGTGACCACCTCCAGAGCCCAATATTATATATTTTTGCTTGCATCTCAATTAATGAGGTCAAACAGCTTTCCATGTGTTTATTGGTACTTGCATTTATTTAGGAAAAAGCCTCAGAAATCTTGTTTTCAAATATGACATTTATGTTGCACATAGATAAAATTAAAATTTTCTCAGTGTCTGTTTTTATTCTAACCTGGAAAAATGCAAATATTTTGACAGTAATGTTCACAATAGCCTAAGAACACTGGCAATTCTGTCTGTCTCCTTTGGAAGGTCTTAGTTGTCTTTTTTTTTTTTTTTAAGATTTTGTTTATTCATTCATGAGAGACACACACAGAGAGAGGCAGAGACACAGGCAGAGGGAGAAGCAGGCTCCACGGAGGGAGCCCGATGTGGGACTCGATCCTGGAACTCCAGGATCACGCCCTGGAAGGTGCTAAACCGCTGAGCCACCCAGGGATCCCAGAAGGTCTTAGTCTTCTACTCATCCTTTCAACATTGGGGTTCCTTGGGCCCCCTCTCAAGGTCCTGTTCTCTTCTCATCCTATGTGGTTGTGATTTCAACCAGCCTCCCTGATTCTGTTTCCACTGCATCCTGATACCTCCCAGACATTATCTGGAGCTACAGACCACATATGCAACTGCCTTCCAGACATAGATGTCCCAAAGAGATCTCAAAATAAACATGTCCCAAATTGAGTTCATCCTCACTCACCTCCCCCAAACCTGTTCCACCACCAACGTCCCCTCCTCTGAGTACTGTTACCCTCCCAAGTACCACAGCTGGAGACAGCAGTCGGTCATCCTTTGGTTCTGCTTATCACATCCTATAATGAATAGGACTTTTATGGAGAAGAGCAGAAGGAGGGAGTATTTGCTTTTTCTCTTTGGGAATCTGTACTATGTTTTATTATATCTGATCTCATTGCATCTTGCGATTACTGCATCTGCCAAGAAGCACTGCAAATGTTCCAGATAAGGTGCTGCCAGCATTTTGGGGTCAAGCCTACCTCTTAAATTCAGTGTGTTTGCCCCAAGACTAGCATTCACACACTGAAACAACAGTTAGTAATCCTATGTGACCAACAGAGGGAAGGGTAGAATAAAAACTACATCTCCAACTACCTAATTATATCTTCATAGTAGGCTGTTATGTATAAAAAACCCAAGTATCCAGCTGGCCTAATCCTTAGATAAGGAGATGAAGAATATTGGGCTAGGAGCTATCTATCCTGCAAAGCTCTGACTTTGAAGAAAAGGTTGTGGAGAAAGGAAGGCTAGGGCATGTTTAAAATTCCTTTTCTTTTAAGCTAATGAATGATTATTCCTATTGTAAATCTTCTTTAGAAGTGGCCATTTTGGTATCAGAGTGAAAAATTGAAACCCCAGGGTGTAGTGATATATTCAGTGCCATGGCAGTGTCCTAGGCTGTCAGTGTTGGGTTGCTGACACGTCTGGGAGGCCTATGTCACAGGCCTTGACCTTGAGCAAAGAGAGATCTACTCCCACACATCATTGTGACTTTTCTTTGGTTGTGATGCTTCATCTTTTGTGGCTTTCAGTCCTTTTTTTTTCCTCCCCAGTATTTCCAAAATGAAAAATATCTTAATTTGGGGGATAATAAAAGTAAAAAGATGGTAACTACAACAAACATTCAGTGAGTACAAAAAAGTAGAAAGGAGGAAATAAAAATCATTGTAATTCTATTAATCAGAAATAAATATTAACACTGTAGAGTAGTAGCTCCTTCCAATCTGTCTTACGTTTGGCAGACATATACATATTTTTTAAAAATGGGGTTATATTATACCAGGTGTTTTTTTTTTTCTTACCACCTTGCTCACTGAATTCAGCACTGTAGGCCTCACTCTCTTTTGCCCATTATCTTTTGCCAAAGCAAATGTGTGTTTTAATGTTTACTGAATCAACCTGTTATGGGATCCACCTTGCCAATGATTTCACATACAGGGATATTTTATTATATGAGCAATGCAGCATCAATTTACAATTGAGACTGTCCTGGAGAATCTAGGACATGTGGTGATCCTGTGTCCTCCTGTCCTCATGAGCATGGTGGCTGCTGTTCCTTCTCCTTGGGGTGCGTCTTTGTGTGTGTGTGTGTAACCTGAACTTACATGCGCTGGGTGCCACCCATGCACTAGGCCTTATGTGGACTCTATGTTTGTATTACATTTAACCCTTAACACCGCTCTGAGTGGAGGGCGACATCATCTCCATTCTGTTTGAGGTACCTGGAGCTAATTTGCCCAAGATCATACTACTTGTAAGTATTTAGGGTCCAAAGCCAGGCCTTCCAAGTTTCAGAACACTTGAATTTTTTTCACAATCTCCAATGATAGAAGAGTCTCCCCTCCCCGTCCTAACCCTCTGCTGCTGCCCTCAGAGGCTTTTTGACCCTTTTTTGCTTTGTATGAAAATAGTGATTATTCTTCTAGTACCTGAGACGTGCACTTTTACTCAGGCATCTGTGACCCCAGGATGGTTGTACTCCCCACCAGAGTGGCCTTCTCAGTACTTCCTTCAAGGGGTGTGAGTCCCCGTGGCTTTGGCTGGGCTTCCCAAGCACCAGCTTCCAGCACACCAGTCTCTTGCTCCTCTAGTCTCTCTGATTTGATTTAACTAGTTGTCTTTAGTAGCCTCTCCCCTTAAATGATGGTATTCCCAGAGATCTTTTCTCACTTCCTCTTTCTTCCTGGCTCTCATGTTCATGGCATGGCTGAACCCTGACTCCTAGGTTGCCGGACTGGCCCTGTTGCCTGGACCCTTCTGTCTGATTGCCTTCCAGGGTCTCCAACCAGATATCCTGAAGGGACATCAGCTGTAGCACATTCCACATCTAGAGTCCCAATTACCTCCTTTAGGGGCCTTCTCCTATCATTTCCTGACTTTGCTCCTAATATCACCCTCTGCTGTCATCGATCTTATAAACTGGAGACCTTAAAGACACTATTTCATTCCATTCTTTCACATCTCATGTTCGGTTGATTTTCAAATCTTGTTAATCAATTCTGCCTCAGAAATAGCCCCCCAATCTAGCTTGCTTCCTTTCCTTTCCTTTCCTTTCCTTTCCTTTCCTTTCCTTTCCTTTCCTTTCCTTTCCTTTCCTTTCCTTTCCTTTCCTTTCCTTTCCTTTCCTTTCCTTCCCTTCCCTTCCCTTCCCTTCCCTTCCCCTTCCCCTTCCCCTTCCCCTTCCCCTTCCCCTTCCCCTTCCCCTTCCCCTTTCCCTTTCCCTTTCCCTTCTCTCCATTTCCCTTTTATTTCCTCTGCTGCTACCTTAGTTCCAGCCCCTCCAATCTTGCCTGGATTCTGTGAATAGCCTTTGAACTAGCATTAGCTCCTGAAAACTCAAAACTGGTGATGTCATTCTCTTCATCAAGAAAATCTGCGGTTTTACTCTTATCTGTAAGAGAAAGTCCACATTCCCTGGCATGGCAGAGCAGACCCTTCATGACTGGGTGCCCATCTCTTCACCTCCAGCTTCATCTCTGCTCACTAGCCCAGCAACACCCGCTGCCCCCTGAGAGCTGCAGCCATGGGGAGCACCCCACATCCTTGAACACGGCTCCCCTCTTCCCCACCTGCTTGTCGTCCTCCCTGAAGTACATCCATCTGGCAAATTGCTCATTCCTCAGATCCAGCTCAGATGTTACCTCTTGGATGCTGTTCCCTGGTTAGATGTGGCTGGATTCTCCTCTGTGCTTCCCTACACATCTCTTCATCCATGCCTCCTGGTGTCTGAACATACTTTTGTCTTCCAGACTCATGTGGGAGCTCTTGGAGGCAATGATATGCTTATTAGCACATGGCACAGTGGCTTGGACCTAGTATGTGGTGAAGGAATGCCACTCTGTTCTCCCCAGGGTACCTGTGACACTCAAAACTCCTCCAGGGTGCACAGGACCTTTTTACTGCTCCCTGAGTAATTTTCTCCTAGTTGTGTCTGACCCCTTGGCTGTGTCACAGGGTGGCTCTAGTTGTCTTACATTTCTCCCCTTCTGAGTGCCTGTGATCCTCTCTTCTCCAGTCCCTACCATCCGTAGAGCACCTCTGTCCCTTGCACTGTCCTAACAGGGAGGATCCGACTCCTCATTGCTTCCTCTGGCTGGTGTGAAGCATTCTTTAATTCCCCAGGCTACTGTTCCTCAAAGCGAGGTCCCGAGAATCACCCATGTAAGGGTAACTCTCACTGCTGGTTTGAAACTTCATCCTTGGGCCATCCCCTAACTCTACCAAGTGAGAATCACTGGGCCCTGGGCCCAGGAATCTTGTGTTTTGATCATTTCCCCCAACTGATGCTGGTGTGCCTTAAACTGTGACTTCTTCCAGAGCAGTGCCTGCCCCCTAATCAGAAAGAACACAGGTTCCTTCACACAAATACCAGAGTGGGAGAGCAGAATTAAGATTGGGGCCTGCTGCAAAGCAAACCCCCTTCCTAGGGAGTCACAGTATAATTAGCACATGATGGGGGAGAGGTGGCCCTAAAACAATGACAGCAACAACAAGCAAGCCAACAGGCAAAACAAAAAACAAAAACAAAAACAAAAAACCCCCTAATTTTCACAAGGGCCGACCTTATCCTTCCTTCCTGCATGTTAATATTCTGACAGTTTTCCCTTAACACCGGTAGCCTTTTCTATTCTGGAGCACTCTACGTCTATGTTGATGTTAGTGAGATGCCACCTGCCTGTTGGGTGCCATGTGGTGGGCCCCCAGCTCCTGAGGGTTCCTGCCCCTGCTTTATCCCCTGCTCTGCCTGCATCCCCTTTTGCTTCTCTCAGCCATCTCTAACAGCCCATCTTTTCCCTGTCGCCCTGCAGGGGGGGTCCTCTATGCTGCCACTGTGAAAAACTACCTGGGGACGGAGCCGATTATCTCCCGGGCTGTGGGTCGCACAGAGGACTGGATTCGGACAGAGACCTTGCCGTCCTGGCTTAACGGTGGGGAGAGGGAGAGGGGTGCTCTGGGGGATAGAGCCTGCCGTGACCGGGTGGCCCCAGACTGTGTCTGGGGTATCTGAGGCCACTGGTCTCCCCAGCCCCAGCCTTTGCTGCTGCCATGGCCTTGAGCCCAGCTGAGTGGGGGGACGAAGACGGAGATGATGAGATCTACTTCTTCTTTACGGAGACCTCCCGAGCATTTGACTCATATGAACGCATTAAAGTCCCACGGGTGGCCCGTGTGTGTGCGGTGAGACCACTGTCCCAACTGTCTGCCTGTCATCTTCTGCTCCCTTGTCCTGTCTTTTCCTCTCTGGGCCTCTGTCTTTGTATCTCCTCTGTCTCCTTTTTTCCTCTGCCTTGAATTCTTTTCTGGGAGCTTGGGGAGTGTGGGGGAAGGGCTCTGGCCTTGCACTCCCATAGATACCCTTATACTCCCATAGATACACTGTCCCCAGGAGGTGGACTAGTGTGGGGGTTAACAGCAAGAGCTGTTGAGAGCTAGTTCCTGGTTCAAGCCCTGCCTCCACCTGTTCTGCCTCTGTGACTCTGGGTGGGTTCTTTAGCATCTTTGAACCTCCTCTGTAAGATGAGGTTATTAAATGACCTCTGGCTAGAAGGGTTGTTTTGAGGACTAAATGAGGTGACTTATGGGAAGCATGTAGGGGAATATTTTATAAGTGCTCAATGACCTTGGTCCCCATCATTGTTACTGTGACCCCATCCAGCCCCATCTCTCATTACCCCTTGCAGTGCTCTGTATCTCCATCCTTGCCTTTCTGTGCATCTGTTTTCCCATCTGTCTGTGTCTGCCCTGAAGACAGGAGGAAATCAATATTGGTGTCCACATGCCTCCCACAATGTTGGTCTTCTAAAGAGAACTTCCATGCGCTTGTCACCCCAGGGGGACCTCGGGGGCCGGAAGACCCTCCAGCACAGATGGACGACTTTTCTGAAGGCTGACCTGCTATGTCCAGGGCCTGAGCATGGCCGGGCCTCCAGTATCCTGCAGGATGTGGCCATTCTTCGGCCTGAGCACAGATCGGAGACCCCCATCTTTTATGGCATCTTTTCCTCCCAGTGGTGAGGGGGCCCTGGTGTGGAGGGGAGTTACAGGGTGAGGGATACATGGGGACGGATGCAGTGTCTGTGCTGTCTGCTCCAGAATGGGTGGTCTCTTCCTGGAGCAGGCAGTGTGGCTCCCTTTGTATTTCTCATGGGTCATCTCATCTGATGGGGATGAGTTGCTTCTCCATAGTTCCCTCCCAAGTACCTGGCTCCAACCTGTGACTCTTACAGGGAGGGAGCAGCTATCTCTGCTGTCTGTGCCTTCCGACCACAAGACATTCGGACTGTGCTGAATGGTCCCTTCAGAGAGCTGAAACATGACTGCAACAGGGGACTGCCTGTCATGGATAATGATGTACCCCAGCCCAGACCTGGAGAGGTGAGGGAGTGAGGGACCTCTTTACTTCACACCTGAATTGCTGCATGAATGAAAGGGCCCAGCTAAGCATCACGGATACTTGCTGGCCCCTGGGAAACTGTCACCCATCCTGTGCTTCCTCTAGTGCATCACCAACAACATGAAGCTCCAGCAGTTTGGCTCATCGCTCTCCCTGCCCGATCGTGTGCTTACCTTTATCCGGGACCACCCCCTCATGGACAGGCCAGTGTTTCCAACCGATGACCATCCCCTGCTCGTCACTACGGATACAGCCTATCTCAGAGTTGTGGCCCACAGGGTGACCAGCCTCTCAGGGAAAGAGTATGATGTGCTGTACCTGGGGACAGGTATGTTTAATGGTCAAGCAAGTTGCCCATTCAGTGTACGCATGCTCCTGTCACAGAGAAGCTCCCATATATACAGGTGTCAAAGTCCCAGGCACAGTTAAATTGTTATGTCTTGCCACTTGTCTGCTTCCTAGAGGATGGACACCTCCACCGAGCAGTGCGCATTGGAGCCCAGCTCAGTGTCCTGGAGGATCTGGCCTTATTTCCAGAGCCACAGCCAGTTGAGAGTATGAAATTGTATCAAGTGAGTTATAGATTTGGGGGGGTCTGCTGGGGGTACATCTGAGTCCAGAGCCAGTTTGTTACCCTGAGATCTGGGAGATGCAGCACATTCTTCCTCACTCTTTCTATAGAACTGGCTCCTGGTGGGCTCCCGTACGGAGGTGACACAAGTGAACACAACCAACTGTGGCCGTCTCCAGAGCTGCTCAGAGTGCATTCTGGCCCAAGACCCTGTCTGTGCCTGGAGCTTCCAGCTGGATGCATGTGTGGCCCATGCTGGGGAGCATGGCAGGTAAGTGCTACTGCATTGGTCTCTTACCTGCTGTTCCAGGGCATTGACCCATCCTCATGTTTGTGTCTGTATGTCGTCTGTTGAGGTCCCTGGCTGGCCCATTCAATAGAGCATGAAGCCCTTGATCTCAGGGTCATGCATTCAAGCCCCATGTTGGACATGGAGCCTACTTTATTTTTATCTTATATTTTTTATCTTATCTTATTTTTTGAAAGAGCATGCATGTGAGTGGGAGGTGGGATGGGAGGAAAGGGCAGAGGGAGAGAGAGAATCTCAAGCAGGCTCCACACTCAGCGCAGAGCTGATGCAGGGCTCCATCTCACCACCCTGAGATCCCGACCTGAGCCCAAATCAAGAGTCGGATGCTTAGAGCCACCCAGGCGGCCCTGTGTGGAGCTACCTAAAAAAAATGTTTCTCATCTGTTAACGATGCCCTGCCTCTGTGTGTGTTTGTGTGTATTCTGCTTGTGTCACTTGGGTGTCCATCTGTCAGTTCATACTGACTTGTGTGTCTATCCATGTGATGCTGCCTCACTGATGCTCTTTGCCTCTCTGTGGGACCTGCTCTGACCGTATGTCTCACCATTAGCTTGCTATACACTTCTCGGTTTTTATTTTATAAGAGCTCTTGGAAGCATTTGCACAGTTGACTGCTTTCTCTTAGCTTCTTTGCAGTACTCTTGCCTCTTGCTGTCTGTGACTCTGCGTCCTCCTGGATTTCCAGCCTCCCCCACGGTCTGTCTCCTTTACGATTCATTTCCCATCATGCTTCTAAATGTGGATAGTCCTCAGGGTTCAGTCCCTCTCTTAACACTTCCACGCACTGTCTAGATCTTGTTCCCATTACTTCAATGAACCACCTGAGTGCCAGTCACCACCACCTATGTGTCTTTAGTTGAGCTACGGACTTCTGTATTTCACCGCCCACCTCCCTTGGGAGTCTTCACAAGCAGCTCCAGCTGCTCTAACCAGTCTTAGCATGCACTGTCATTTCTGCTTTCCTTCATGTGCTCTTCCTATGGTATTTCTCATCACAAAAAAAAAAAAAAGGCCCTCACATGATGAGATGAGCTTTGGATTATACTATATGTTGGCAAATTGAATTTAAACAGAACAACAAAAAAACAAAAATGGGCTCTCCATCCAAGCGAGACTTGCCCGTGCTATATTGCAATGTGTACGGACTCTAGGTCCATTTGTCCTATGCTCAGTCTATAGCCACTTCTTCCCATCCCTGCCACTGTCACCCTAGTCCACGCCATCATCACTTCTTGCCTGGATTACTCTGGCAATGTCTTAATTGGTCTCCTTTTGACCATTGGGGGATCTTGCCATTTCTCTTCCCCTCAGCAGCTAGCTTAAAATTGTATGTCACATTGAAGCAAATCCTTGACATAATACTCATCTGAAATATTTTGATATGTATATCTATCAGGTAAGGACTTTTTTTCTTCTTAAATTTTTAAAAAGATTTTATTTTTTATTGAAGAGGGGGAGCATGAGAGGAGGGAGGGGCAGAAGGACAAGCAGACTCCCCACAGAGCATAGAGCCTGCCACAGGACTCAATCCCAGGACCCTGAGATCAAGACTGAGCCAAAGGCAGACACTTAACTGACTGAGCCACCCAGATGCCCTCCACCCCGCCCCCAGATAAGGACTCTTTTAAAAAACAGTTTATTATAAGGAATTTCAAACATTCAAAAGTAGAATACAATGAATTCCTGTCATCTGTTGCTCACCTTCACCAGCTATCAACTCCTGGCCAATCTTGCTTCACCAATACCCTCTCTCACTCCCAATTATTTTATAGTAAATCTCAAACATCACTTTATCTATAAATCCGGCAGTATATATTTTTAACACAGAAGGAATTAAAAATAAAACAAAACCATAGTATCATTATCTTACCATAAACTTAATGTCCTGAAACATCCAGTCAGTGTTCCAGTTTTCTCAATTAAGTATACTATAAGGTGGTTGCTTAAGTTAGGCTCCAAATAATGTCCATCAATTGAAGTTGATTGATGTGTTTTTTAAGTCTTTTAAGTTTTATGTGAGATTCCTTAATGAACCATTTTAAATTGATGGCTTGGAAAGTACTTTTTTCTTTTTTTTTATTTTTTTTTTTAAATTTTTTTTAAGTTTTTATTTATTTATGTACGATAGACACAGAGAGAAAGAGGCAGAGACACAGGCAGAGGGAGAAGCAGGCTCCATGCACCGGGAGCCCGATGTGGGACTCGATCCCGGGTCTCCAGGATCGCGCCCTGGGCCAAAGGCAGGCGCTAAACCGCTGCGCCACCCAGGGATCCCCGGAAAGTACTTTTTTCAAACTGACTTTGAGATTTCCTATGTTGAGCCCTGTTAATTTATAGTATATTTGTATATATTACTGAACCATAAGGCTATCATAATATTTTAGAAGTAAAAGTACTTGTTTTGGGAATCAGCTTTTCATTAAGAACTTTGATCTAGTAGTTTCTCTTGGGTATAACTTTTAGATGTCCAAGACAAGTATAACTTAGATGTCTAGGACGAAGCAAGTGCTTTATTGTTTTGATATCCATTAAAATAAGGATTTCATTGTATATTGTGTACTTGAACCTCAGGATCCCCTTAAGATATATATATATCAGGGTGTGGGTTATATGTATATGCTAGTATATTTCCTGGTAATACAAGAAATTACCAAGTTAGTATTTTTTAAAATTAATTAATTAATTTGAGGGAGAGAGAGCAAGAGTGCTCCCATGCAAGCAGGGGGAGGGGCAAAGGGAGAGGAAAAAGGAGAGAAGTAGACTCCCCACTGAGTGTAGAGCCTGAGGCGAGGTGAGGCTCATCCCAAGACCCTGAGATCATGCCCGGAGCCAATATTAAGAGTCAGACACCCAACTGATTGAGCCACCCATGTACCCCACCAAATTGTTACTTCTCTGTACTCTCTCCTCCACATCTCGACTCATACAAGTGAGAAAGACTGACTATGGAGTTCCTGTGGCTATGTCTGCACATATGGCCTTCCTAAGTTCTCCACTCTCAGCTAGACTAAGCGACCTTGGTTTTACCCAGAAGACTGTAATGTATTCATACCAGTCTTGGAACTCATTTTAGGAGCCCTAATTCATGCTGAAGGAGTTCACACTCAAATGGAGTCTGTCTTTGATTGAGGCTTTTGTGTGTTCAGATAAAACTTGGTTTCCATCGATAGCTCGGTAGAGGTCTCCCTTTGGGAGTTCAGAGTGAGTGGTTCCATCCTGCTGTCCCTGTGTCAGACATAGTTCATGCACATCCTTGGAAGTACCAGGATTGTGGTGTTTGAAACAGATCCGTTAGAGGCTAATAGGCATTGACTGTTATTGGAGAAAGTTCCTACATAGAGATGAGCAGCTTTTATGAAACAAAAAGTCCTCTCCTGACCCTCACAGAATTTTGATAAACTTTTATAGAAAAGAAGTTTTTCCTCTTAACAGCAAAAAAGGTTAACTGTAGTGTCCCCCCCTGCCCAAGAGAAATCTTGTGGTTGTGGATACCCAGATGCATTTCTTGGAACATGTGTATGCATTTTTAAATTTTATTTTTAAATTTTATTTTTTTTATTTTTAAAAAGTTTTTATTTATTCATGAGAGACACACAGAGAGAGGCAGACACATAGGCAGAGGAAGAGGGAGAAGCAGGCTTCCTGCAGGGAGCCCAACTCAGGACTCCATCCCAGGACCCCATGATCATGCCCTGAGCGGAAGGCAGACTGAGCCATCAAGGCATCCCTGTATACATTTTTTTAAAAGTACGCCCCAACCACCTTTCCAGCAGACCTACTGCAAATTTAATTCTCTGTAGTTTGCTGGAAATATGTGTGGAATTTGACATGGCAAGTGTCATGAGGAGTAAAAGGGATATTGGGGGAAATTTCATTGGTAAAGAGAATGTTGATTGATAGTTTCAGGAATGATTTGTGAGACAGTGGGAGATGTAATTCCACTACAGTACTGAGTGTTCATTGGTACTGAAGAAGGCAGAAGGGGCTGTTGACACTGGATTTACCGCGTGTTCTCTTCTCTACAGGCTGGTCCAAGACATAGAATCAGCAGATGTCTCTTCTTTGTGTCCCAGAGAGCCTGGAGGTCTGTATGGTTTAGGGGAATGTGGGTGAAGTGGGTGAAAGGGGCTAGAATGTTGTCCATTTTGTACCCACTTTAAAAATTGGAAGATATGGCAGCGGGTGACCCATGGTCTTACTGTCTTTGGGAATCCTCTTTTTTCTTTGTCCCCATGGCCCCTTCTTGTATCTGGTACCATGCCATATTTCACTGCATTATATTCCAGCTGGTAGCATTACCACTTTTCATGCCTCTGCTCTCTTTCTGCAGAACACCCAGTAGTGTTTGAAGTTCCTGTGGCTACAGCTGCACATGTGGTCTTACCATGTTCCCCAAGTTCAGCATGGGCATCCTGTGTCTGGCACCAGCCCGGTGGAGTGACTGCACTTACCCCCCGGCGGGATGGGCTAGAGGTGGTGGTGACCCCAGGAGCCATGGGTGCTTATGCCTGCGAATGTCAGGAGGGTGGGGCAGCCCGTGTGGTGGCTGCTTATAGCTTGGTGTGGGGCAGCCAGCGGGGCCCCGCAAGTCAGGCCCACACAGTGGGGGCTGGACTGGCTGGCTTTGTCCTGGGGGTTCTTGCAGCATCCCTGACTCTCCTTCTGATTGGTCGGCGTCAGCAGAGACGGCGACAGAGAGAACTTCTGGCTAGAGACAAGGTGGGCTTGGACCTTGGGGCCCCACCATCTGGGACCACGAGCTATAGCCAGGACCCTCCCTCTCCTTCTCCTGAAGATGAGCGGCTGCCCCTGGCCCTGGCCAAGAGGGGCAGTGGCTTTGGGGGCTTCCCTCCACCCTTCCTACTTGATCCTTGCCCAAGCCCAGCCCACATTAGGCTTACTGGGGCTCCTCTAGCCACATGTGATGAAACATCCATCTAGGGCAAATGACTGCTAGTAACCCCTGGAGGGGAATGACCATTGAGGTGCTGGGGGTACTGGGCCTGGAAGATGGTCATGGTCTCTGAGCTCTCTTTGGTCTTTGCATAATCACTTACACTTCAGTCTGCCCTCTCTGGACCTGGCTGGGTTCGGGGCCAAGCCTGTGCTTGATTGCCTGATTCCCATGAGAGATCAGAGCTGCTAGCTGCAGTGAATCAGGACTTTCCCCACCTCTGCCCTCTGAACCGGTGTGACCCATTCAGCCTTGGCCCCCTATCTTGGGCCCATTAGTTTGGGGTTGGGGAACAGGACATAGCTCTGACTTTGCCTTCTGGTGGGGCCTGGCTGGAAGGAAGAGCACTAAAGGTGGTGGGGGGCTAGTGTGCATTAAGTCCTTTCATTCATTCTCTTAGTTTACCTGATTCTCTGTGGGGAGTGCATGATCCCCATGTTGCAACATGAAATCTCTGCCCTGAGATATCCCCAACCCCAGTTTTCCTTCTTCCATGAAAGTGTGTGTAAATACACAGGTGTTCATAGGAGGCCTGGCCACGTGCATGAACCACTGGGGCATTGCTCAGGTGTACTCAAGGTGGGACCAGGTGCGAGAAGGTTGGAATGGAGGCCTTGCCAGACCCTGTAGCCAGTGAAAGAATGCCTTTCCTTTCTAAAAGGAAACAAACCACCACCCCATCCCCATCACCTTCCACAACCCTTCTCTTGAGTAGAGGAAAAACTCTCAAAGTGACCTTCTGGGTGGCAAGGACAGCGATACATGTGATCCCATCATTCTCTTTGTTTTTGTCTCCTGGCTGCCACCACTGCCACACACAGCTGTTCCTTTCTCTGACTGGAGTTAAAGGCTGGACTCCCTTCTTTGGCTCCCATTAAAAAAACTTTGTAACATTCTTAAGTATTAAGGGACAACAAAAAGGGAACGGTCCTAGGAAATAGAAATTGCATAAAAATAGGTTTGTATCAGTGACTTTACTCAGGTTGACACCCTTGCCCTAAGTCAGAAGTTCTCCAGCTGGGGTCCATGGACTCCCTGAAATCGTATGCAAAATATTGTCTGTACACGTGAATCTATTTTTATGGGATGTGGGGGTGGGTGGGTATGGCTTTCATCAGATTCTCAAGGCCTTAACAAAGTAGAAGGACCCTGCCTCCAGGTCACCACAGTGGCTAAGCTGAGGGGGAGCCACTCAGTGGCAGTTCTTCCCACCCCGCTGTCCCTTCCCTGGGGTCAGCCCCTGGACTTGCAGCCGCCGGAAGCCCCCTTGTATCTCCGGTCTCTGGAAGCTGGACTCGGCGTGTATCTGAAGATATTGTCGACTTCTGCCAAACATAGAGACCTCTTCCTGCTTTACAGCTCCCAGATGCTCTAGGCTTCTGCTCTGTTCTGGTCTTGGCCCGAGTATGTGCCTCATTCATCCCTGCTGGGGGACCCCCTTGAGCTCCAGTGAATGATCCAGCCCTTCCCAGTTGAAGTTTTCAGCTCTACTTTCCTTGGCAGCAACCTGTGAACTATTCAAAAGAGTCCCCTTGGGTTTAGGATTATCAGTGGTTTTGCCATTAATGAGTGTTATGATTTTTAGCAAGTAATCTAATGGAGGAACATCGGTTTTGCCATTAATGAGTGTTATGATTTTTAGCAAGTAATCTAATGGAGGAACATCGGTTTACATCATTGGGGGATAATAATACCTACCTCAGGGTTGCTGCAAGGATGAAATGGGGAAACATGTAAACAATAAAGCACTATCTATACCAGTAGATGTTGTTATTGTAAAAATTGACCTAGGAGGCCATCATTCTATAGCTTAGCCAGATGGTAACCATGACACATGCAATCAGTGTAAGCCCCGTTCTGTGGGAGGAGGATCATTGCCTCACACAGAGATCCTGTCCTGTGTCATCTCTGGCCAGATCTTGGCTGCCAGTATCCAGTTTTGGGAGGCAGGACCTGTGGTTTTTACAATCCTCAAGTGTTCCTGAGCTTAGTGATCATACTAGTTCTATAGAAGAATGGAGGAAGTCTTTGTGTGCTTGTGTTTATCCTCACTTTATTCTCTTGAGGTTATGGGTTCCATTTGGGGGGAGGAAGAGAGGTAAGGAGATGTCAGAAGGGCCTGGGGTCTCTTTGAGGAGAGGGACCAGATCACAGTGGCTTTGCAGCATTTGGTCCTTGGACAGTGGCTCTGGTTGGAGGAAAATGAGATATGTAGGAAAAAAACGAAGAGGGAGATAGGCACAAAGATAACAGATCCACCCATTAGTGTAATGTTCAAGCCCCAAGAATGAGTGATAGTACAGGAATGGGAAGCCAACTCCCAAAGAAATGGTGGGAATAACTGCATGATCTTTTACCTGAGGGGGTATGTGGGAAGGGAGAGGATCTGTTTGTGGCTAAGGGAGCTAAAGAAAGGTGCAGGGTCCATGCAGCAAGAATTGTGAGGATTCCAGTGGCCAGAGATCTCTCTGGGTTCACACATTATAAGCAGCCATGGGGAGAGGGAGGGTTTGGACCTTGTGTTTGTGTTTATCCCCTGGCTCCAAACACTGCGCACTTTCTGGCCCTCACTCTTAAATCCTCCTCTGCTTTTGGTTGTGGTCCCTGGTCCATAAATTGTGACTCTCAGCTTGCCCCTAACCAGTGCTCTGTGGCTACCCACATGACCTTACTGAGGGATGCTCACTGTTGACTCTTACAAGCCAAAGGAGCTCCAGTGTACCACTGGCCCTAACCCAGCAGGAGGCTGACTCACTTCCTTTCTCAGGCACCCTCCCTTTCCCCAGCAGTCCCACAAGTTCACTGATGGCTCAGCAATGGCAGGAAAGGGATTCTTTCAGTATCTGCTGCTAGGTCCCCACCCTCCTGGCTACTGTGTCCCTGTCAGAGGAGGGCAGTCATGGCGACAACTGAAGGTTCTTGGTTCACTGCACACAGGTCATGTCTCAAGGGTCTGGGGATAAGAGTGCCCTTTTCAATTTTAGCAGAGGCAAGGCTGGAATTTTTTTTTTTTAAATCACCCTCACCAACTGAAGGAGAAGCTAGCAATAAGAATAACAAGAAATAGTCCTGCAATTTTAAAATGTAGACCCTTGGTGGGGTCTGGGGACAGGCCTCTCTGTGACATGGCAATTTGTGTAGCCAGTAGATAACACTAGCGGTTCCAGAGTGGCCCAGCTGGATTGATATAAAACACCAGGTCCTGGCTGAGGTAGGGAAGGGCAAATGACAGAATGATCTAGCTCCCCGAGTGAGGCCAAGGATGTTTGGAAGGGTGCAGATAAGAGATCAGTTTTCAGGGGGCTGTTCTAGCCTCTGTGAAGAAATTAGTGTAAGCCAGGAACTCTCTGCCTCTCTTTTTCAAAGACTCCTAGCCAGGGGACTAAGGTTTTCCCTAGACATAGTGGGCCTGGGGTTTAGAGCTACAGGTGAATCCTGGACCTGCCCCCTGGTGTGTGTGGTAATCCTCATTTATGTCAGAGTTGGCATCCCTCTTGTAAACTCTGAGGCTTGGCAGACCACCAGCGAAGGGTTTTCATTACTTGCAACTGGAGCCATGGTTGGAGCAGGAACTGATACTGGACCCAAAGACCCACATCTCACTGTCAAGTTCAAGCAAGGACTTTGAGTTGAGGAGGCTTGGAATAAAATCCTCCCAGGACTGGGTTCACACCAGGCACACTCCGACAGTTAAGAATTGAGGAGGCTGATTAGACATCTCTGGTAGAGGTTTAGGCAGAGAACTTTTGTAGAAAGTCCAGGCCTGAGGCCCTGGGAGGCATACTTCATAGCTGTCAGCTAAGGGGTTCTTTTTTTTTTTAATTTATTTATGATAGTCACACAAAGAGAGAGAGGCAGAGACATAGGCAGAGGGAGAAGCAGGCTCCATGCACCGGGAGCCCGACGTGGGATTCGATCCCGAGTCTCCAGGATTGCGCCCTGGGCCAAAGGCAGGCGCTAAACCGCTGCGCCACCCAGGGATTCCCCCCCCCCTTTTAAAAATTTATTTAGCTAAGGGGTTCTAATCAGCCTCAGATGGATTTGCTGGAATTCTCTTCCTGGCAAGACCAAGAATGCCAAGACTTGGCACCCATTCTCAGCATTCTCCTTTTAAGACATGTCATTGTGTGTGATAGGTAAGTTCCTATTCTTTCCCCCTGAAGAAGCAAGGAGGCAGGAATGGCCCTTCCCTGAGGTGAGGATGGGGATGACTGTTTTATTCCTTTAGTGACACATATCTGCCCTCTGCTTCCATGCAGCTTCTCCACAAGCTCTGGAAACAAATTGTGTGGATGTTGGAGACATCCAACAAGGTCATCCAACATGACCTTGAGGTTATGGGCAAGTGTCCCCATGTTTAGTGTAGGATGGAGCTGCCTACCTTTTATGTCTGTCAGCTCAAATGATGAACTTCTCATCACTGATCATAGGAACCAGAGACTCTACTGCCCTTTGCTTGGAGCCACATTAAGTTCCCTGAATTCATGTTCAGTTCTAGAGAGAAGGATCACCACCCCAAGATGGCTGAAATAGAATATTTCTCCCCAGAAGTGACTGGGAGCTGAGAAGCAGTTAATTTGATTTATAGAAATAAAGTAAAAAATTATTTTTGTACCTGTAGGTCTGTGGAGAAGAATTCATGCCCACTCTAACTAATAGCATTTCTAAAATTGGCTGAGGGCAGAGAGCTGGCATTATGAACTGGCCTATAGAATGAGAAAGCAGAAGGGACTGTGGACGGGGTGGAAAGAGTGAGCTCTAGGGGTCTGAAGTGAAGAAGGTGGACCCTCCTCCAACCATTTGCAGGAACCATTCTCCCTCTTGAAGCTTCTCCTCATAGATAGCCACCAAATTAATCTTTTATCAGACTCAAAACCCATCACCTCTTAGATATAGTGGATTTGGGTAATTTGTGGTTTTGTTGCAATACTATAGCATCATCACAAATTGTGGTCACCTTGTAATTCCTGGGTAAACGTTCTCGAAAGAAGGGCACATGAACCTATGGGGTAGTAGTTGAGAAACCAGGATGTCCACATGCTACTTCTACAAAGGTTTATGACAAACTGCCATTAGGAGCTTTGCTAGATAAGTTCTTATTCTTTTGGGCATTTACAGCTGTACTAGTCAGGACAGGCTTTGTTATGATGTAATAGCAAACAACCAGGTACTCTTAGTGGCTTAAACCAGCATGTTTATTTCTTACAGTACTTTAAGGAATTCTGACACATGCTACAACATGCATGGATCTTGAGGAAAATGATGAGAAGTGAAATAAGCCAGTGATAAAAAGACAAATACCATTTGATTCCACTTCTATGAGTTACCTAGAGTACTTACATGAGTAGTTCTATGAGTTACCTAGAGTAGATTGGGGGCTGGAGGTGAGGAGGATGGGGGTTCATGATTGTTTAATGGGGACAGAGTTTCAGTTTTACAAGGTGAAAAGATTTCTGGAGATGGATGATGCTAATGGTTGCACAACAATATGAACGTACTTTATATCACTTAAAGATGGTAAGTTTTATGTGTATTTTACGACAATAAAAAATTTGAAAAGAAAGCAAAGATTACATAGTCCCTGCCCTCTCAAAGCTCCTAATTCAGTGGAGAGGCAGACAAGCGAGCAGAGAGCAACACACTTTGAAAAACATGGCTGTCAAAGTGTGTCCCAAATCTGGAGGAACCCAAGGACACTCCTTTCTGTATACATCTCTTCTTAAGTGGTAGCTTGAGAAACAGACGAGACACCAACAAAAGGTTTTTGCGCCCCCTAACTGGACTGCCCTGAAGCTACTGACAGTCTGATGTAGCAGAGTCTAGTGAGACGCATAAGCCTCATTTGGTCTTTGTCATATATCCAATTTTACACAATAGAACTTTTAAAAACAAAATGTTCTTCGTCTTTGAAACTGACAAGATTAAAAAAAATTGATAATAATTGCTTTGTACTGATGAGGATTTGAGGGCAGGGAATTGGGTATTCTCCTAGCCCACTGTTGGAAATGAAAGTTGTACGTGCTCTATGGATTCTAGTGATATCTATTAAAAACTTTAAAGTGTATATATTGTTTGACCCAGTAATTACACATCTAGGAATTTATTTTAAGGAAAAAATAGTGTAAGTGTTCAAGGATGTATTTCTAAAGGATTTCATTTTAGTATTGTAAGCCTAGAATATTAGAAAAATCTATTTAACGAGAGAAATTTGGTTAAATAAGACATAATATTGACTTGGAAGAAATGTCTACAATGTTGTTAGGTGAAAAAAAGAAACCCTAAGAGAGGGAAGAGCAGCCCCCAACATCTGGGAGCTGGCCTGGCATCACCATGAGGCTATAAAGTTCTGTGTCACAGCACAGCAACAGTGGATAAGGCCATTTTGTGATGTGCTGGAGCAGATAAAAACAAGGCCCCTCTGTAATCACGTCTGTACACAGACAAAACAGGAACATTGTCCAAACCAAGCATCCACCTGTGCTGGTTCATAGTAGGGACTGCTGCTCCTTTATCAATTCTTCACCAGGTTTAGCCTCGCACTGGTTGTCTCTTCTTCTGGATGACATTTATTAAGGTAGCCCATCATAGAATTACCCTGCTTCCTGGCAACATCCTATCCAGAGCAGAGCCCAGCTTCCTTAAACCTTCCTGCAAATTACCTAGCTCAAACCGAAGTCCTATAAATTCTAACAGCCTCTTATTGAACTGAAACGCCCATAGTTCCTATGGTGTGTGTTCTCTTGTACTACAGACTGAGAAG